CTGTTTGAACTGTCAACATCTAATGGAGTGACAGTAAAAGCGGCGTGATGGTCTGGATCAGGCTGTTCTCTCTGGAAAAATACATCTGAACCCACCATCACATTATTGACAGCTGACAAGACGATCATCTTAAGACGTCTCTATGATTTTCAGTCCAAGTCTCTCATACAAGTATGGGGCGAGCTCTCTTTAAGTGTGGGCTCTGCCTGAGAAAATAATTTAGAAAATGTACGACGCAAATTCAGTGCCTGCCCAGTACTTAGTATAATTTAATTTAGCAAGCTCTTGGGCAGCACCCTAAAGGATTTAACACTACACATAAGTAGAACCTGTTCCTGTCTTTTTTCTGCTTACCTTTTTCCCAATATTAATTTTAGAGATATCTTACAATATTTACAAAGGAGATGCTTGCACATCTCAGATGCAGATTTATAAATAACTAAGTTGCATGTTAGCTCAGATTATACGGCTGTTAAATGTCCACTCAGACCTTTAAAACTGCAAATGAAACCAGTGTTTCATAGAGCTGCTGCCTTGCTCAAAGTCTCTCCTGTTAGAAATTTACAAATATTAATTTATTTAACTTGCAACTCTTAAAGCTAAAGCTAAAAAAGAAATCTCAATTTGTGATTAACAAAATCAGCTGCTACATACAGATTAAACAGCATTGTAGCTTTGCACCGGTCCCACACACCGGATTGGTTTCAGCTTGATACTGACCTTATTAAGCAGTTCACACATCTGCAATTTACATAATCGTTTTTTGTCAATGTCATTTTAAAAGTAAGTGTTTCCACTATCTGTCGCATCCACTCAGCAATCTCTGCTTCATGTTACATTAAATAAAAATGATTTAAAAGCGTCCCAGGCGGTGAGGTCTACTGATTTTAAATTGGTGATTTAAACATAACAGCAGAGGACTGACACTGATCATTAGACAAGTTTTGAGAATTTGTATCGGGAGGGAAAAAGTTAGATCCCAATTTGTTGAATCGTAATATGCTGAGTTGAGCTTTGATATTTAACCCTACATGGACTACCAACTGGGGTCTCTGGGACCAAAAAATAAACTACTGTTAGAAACAACCACCACCTCCAAAACTAACCAGCTATTGAAACTGCAAAGGTGGAAATTGGTGCTTTGAGGTGGGCCCCCAGGACCTCAATATCTTGGTGCCTTGAAAAATCACTAGTCAAAATGAAATGAAGTCATTACGAACAAATTGATTGAATTGGAAAGAAAGAATAAACACCTGCAAGATATGAAAAAAAGTATACCTCTGGGGTCTGTGGGGACCCCTGTTGGTAGTAGGGATCACTGAACGGGCCTACCAGGGACAGGCCCCAATGTATCAAGGTACAGGTGCTGGTCATATAATTAGAATATCATGAAAAAGTTGATTTATTTCAGTAATTCCATTCAAAAAGTGAAACTTGTTTAATGTATACATTCATTCCACACAGACTGATATATTTCAAGTGTTTATTTCTTTTAATTTTGATGATTATAACTGACAACTAATGAAAACCCCAAATTCAGTATCTCAGAAAATTAGAATATTGTGAAAAGGTGCAATATTGAAGACACCTGGTGCCACACTCTAATCAGCTAATTAACTCAAAACACCTGCAAAGGCCTTTAAATGGTCTCTCAGTCTAGTTCTGTAGGCTACACAATCATGGGGAAGACTGCTGACTTGACAGTTGTCCAAAAGACGACCATTGACACCTTGCACAAGGAGGGCAAGACACAAAAGGTCATTGCTAAAGAGGCTGGCTGTTCACAGAGCTCTGTGTCCAAGCACATTAATAGAGAGGTGAAGGGAAGGAAAAGATATGGTAGAAAAAAGTGTACAAGCAATAGGGATAACTGCACCCTGGAGAGGATTGTGAAACAAAACCCATTCAAAAATGTGGGGGACATTCACAAAGAATGGACTGCAGCTGGAGTCAGTGCTTCAAGAACCACCACGCACCGACGTATGCAAGACATGGGTTTCAGCTGTTGCATTCCTTGTGTCAAGCCACTCTTGAACAAGAGACAGCATCAGAAGCGTCTTGCCTGGGCTAAAGACAAAAAGGACTGGACTGCTGCTGAGTGGTCCAAAGTTATGTTCTCTGATGAAAGTAAATTTTGCATTTTCTTTGGAAATCAAGGTCCCAGAGTCTGGAGGAAGAGAGGAGAGGCACAGAATCCATGTTGCTTGAGGTCCAGTGTAAAATTTCCACAGTCAGTGATGGTTTGGGGTGCCATGTCAAAGGCTGGTGTTGGTCCACTGTGTTTTCTGAGGTCCAAGGTCAATGCAGCCGTCTACCAGGAAGTTTTAGAGCACTTCATGCTTCCTGCTGCTGACCAACTTTATGGAGATGCAGATTTAATTTTCCAACAGGACTTGGCACCTGCACACAGTGCCAAAGCTACCAGTACCTGGTTTAAGGACCATGGTGTCCCTGTTCTTGATTGGCCAGCAAACTCGCCTGACCTTAACCCCATAGAAAATCTATGGGGTATTGTGAAGAGGAAGATGCGACACGCCAGACCCAACAATGCAGAAGAGCTGAAGGCCACTATCAGAGCAACCTGGGCTCTCATACCACCTGAACAGTGCCACAGACTGATCGATTCCATGCCATGCCGCATTGTTGCAGTAATTCAGGCAAAAGGAGCCCCAACTAAGTATTGAGTGCTGTACATGTTCATACTTTTCAGTTGGCCAACATTTCTAAAAATCCTTTTTTTGTATTGGTCTTCAGTAATATTCTAATTTTCTGAGATACTGAATTTGGTATTTTCATTAGTTGTCAGTTATAATCATCAAAATTAAAAGAAAAAAAACATTTGAAATATATCAGTCTGTGTGTAATGAATGAATATAATATACAAGTTTCACTTTTTGAATGGAATTACTGAAATAAATCAACTTTTTGATGATATTCTAATTATATGACCAGCACCTGTATGTATCAAGGGGCCCCCTGGCCTTCACTTACAACATGTCTCTGAAATTAACATGTGCAGACCCAGAAGAGACTCAACACAACCACAGGGAGACACAAAAAAACAACAAGGAGACACAAAATGACTAGAAAGAGAGGCAATACAACCATAAAGCGACACAAAAAGACTACAAGGAGACACAACACAACCACTAAGAGACACAACACAATAACAACACAAACACAAAGAGACTATAAGTAGACACATAACAACAGCAAGGAGACAAAAAGACTACAAGGAGATGCAAAACAACCACAACAAGACACAACACAACCACAAGGAGACACAAAATCATTACAGAGACACAAATAACTGGATAGACACACAACATGACTACAAAGAGACACAACGCAACCACAAAGAGACACAAAAAGACTACAAGAAGACACAAACAAACAACAAAGAGACACAAAAGGCTAGAAAGAGACATAAAATGACTACAAAGAGACACAACACAACCACAAAGAGACAAAAATGACTACAAAGAGACACAACAAAACCACAAAGAGACACAAAGAGACTACAAGGAGACACAAAAGGACTAGAAAGAGACAAAAAATGACTACAAAGAGACACACACAACCACAAGAAGACCCAAAAGGACTAGAAAGAGACAAAAAATGACTACAAAGAGACACAACACAACCACAGAGACAAAAATGACTACAAAGAAACACAACACAACCACAGAGAGACGCAAAAAACAACAGAGCGAGACACAACATGACTACAAAGAGACACAAAACCACAAAAGGATGCATTACGATGCAGATGACTACAAAGAGGTGCAAAACAACCACCAAGTCTGCTTGTCTTGCACCTATGAAGGAGAGGTGGTGGTGGTCCTTTGCACTTCTGTGCCCAGGGGCCCATTGTCTCATAATCCACCCATGCTCTGTGGGACGAGGGTTTATATAAAACTTGCTTTCCAGAGATGAGACTTTGAACAGGAATTCTAACCTTCTTGAGCATGAGCTCATGCAGAACTCTGGGCCAACAAAGACACTGTCCACTCACTGTGTAGTGTGTACAGAGTGACGGTGCCACATATTAATAACATTTTATCTTATAAATCACAGCATTCTCCCCTCCATGTCCACCAGTCCTTATATGGATCCACACTAGCATTACTTCAGTCCCAGTTCTGCTGAGCTGTTCAGGATGAGCTGGATCCTTTACATGACATGTTCCCGACTCACCTCGAGCTTGACAGTCGCTTTAATTTGAGTGTCACACACTGTGCGGGTAATGAGGACACTTCCCCAGCCCCTGGCCTCAACGCCAAAGTGGAGAAAAAGTAGGAGAAGAATAAAGCAACAGCACAAACTGGGGAAGCCACAGAGAGAAACTGTGACTCAGCTGTTCGATCAGGAAGTTTGAAATCAGACTGAGAGCATCAGTAAAAGAGCCTGAACCGCCTCTTCCTCCTCCTCCTCCTCTTTCTTCTCCTTAATCTGCTACTGATTTAACATTAATCTGACTCAGCATGAGTCAAAGATTGGGTTAAATATCTGAAATGATGAGGTGGCACTTTTGCTTCTTTTGTCTGGGGCCAACATGACTTTAAATTAAGACAAGAAGTGAGAGACAGAGGTCAGAGCAGATGTAGCAGAAGGAGTTTTTTGTTTTACTACCATTGTAAATATCATTACAGATGTTATTATATAGTGAAATATATGTGGTGTGGTGACCTTGTCCTACTTTAAAGTATCTATCTGCTGTCTGGTGTGGTTGCACTGACACTCCTGTGGGACTCAAAGCACATGCAGATCCTCACTGAGATTTTCACCTCTTTAAAAATGATCTGCTGATGAACACATAGCTCCTGGAGGATTACACTCCATGCTACACCCCACAGTCAGATATATGTGTGTATCATCATAAGACAGTTTCATTCCTTTGTTGATGACAGGTCAGACAGGCGAGCAGCTGCGTTTCGGCCCATCCTTTTTTTTAACCCTGCTCACAAAGACCACTTTAATTTAGGATTTTTTTTTTTTACCTTCACAAATCAGCCTTCTTCTTCTTGTGTATTTTCCTTTCTCCCCTCTTCCTCTCCTCAGTCAGATCCGGGACGAGTAAAAAAAAACAATCCGAGTTATTCCAACCGGGACCGAACCGCCTTCATCCTCACTTCATCCATCCAGCAGAGCAACTGTGGTGAGATTTGCAGCTGAAGTTAAAGCACAGCAGAGGCACAGGGTGTGAGGATGGAGGACACAGTCATTGTCATCACACAGGATTAATCCAGCTGCAGCATTACAAGACAAAAAAAAAGTCAGATCCCTAAAGTGTCCCAGCTCTTTGTAGCTCCCTACTTCCTACTACTAAACTTACATCAACCCCCACATAACAACATGGCCGACCCTGCCTGCGGGACTGGAGAGCCACACACAGCTGGAGAGAATCGTGTGTCCGGTGCAGCTGATCAGGGAGCAGCAAGGGAGGTGAGGATCACACACACCCAGGAGGAGAACCGGCTCAGTAAGGAAAATATAAAGAGACGATAATGTGAGAGGCGACAGAGGAGCGGACCGGCTGAGAGGAGGATGGTTGCATGCGAGTAGAAAAAGGGAGGACTCAAAGCGTCCTCAATCTGAACCGTTTTCAGGCTCCAGTACAGATCTCTAACGCCCCCTGCTGACCGTGGTGTTGTTACTGCAGCTGCACATCTGCATTAGTTTTACTGGCCCAGTGTGCAGGGCAGGAATGCAAGTACGTTTACTATACTTATGTACGATTTTGAAGCACTTTAATTGACTATTTTATATTTATCTATAACATATATTTTATTTATACTTTTATATTTATTTTAATTTTATATGTTCTAATTTATTTTTTATTTTAATTCTA